GAGGGCAGGTGGAAGGCAGTGATGAGGCAATGATAGATTTAAGTGGTAGGCACTCTGCGGAATAAGGATGATACAAAGCTAATATTTAAATGTGTGCTTGAGCATTTACATGTGATTGGTGCTATACTAAGCACAGTACACTTAGTAGCTCATTGATCCCTGATGAACTAGGTGTTTGCACCAGTTACAAGCATGAGAAACCTGAGGTGCAGGGATTTAAGGAACTTGCTCAAGGTCACACAGTAAAGAGTGGAGGAGCTGGGATAGAAGCCTAACCGAGCTCTGCACTACTTTTAACTACCAAAGCTGCATACTGATTTTTTACCTTTCGTATGTACATTTCAAGTATCTCTACTGTAATCTATAAATTTCTAGGGGACTAGACCTTACATTATATCATCTGATTTGCTGCTATTCTGAACTCAGGGTTGTTGGAAGCAGCTGACACACTTCTGTCAAATGATTTCAAGGCCAGAGTCAGGGTAGAGTCAAGAGTTGGCCAGGTGCGTAGAACTCCATCCCCCACCCCACTGGCAGGATGCAGGCAATGATTCAACAGTGTCTGTTAAGCTGGTACCCCCCCACCCCATGGCTCAAAATAGTAATTGTGATGTAATATTTGTTTAATGTCTAAAAAGAATACTCTGGTGATTTATGTACTTAAAAATTATGTAAATGCACCCTCAGGATGCTGGTGAAAGGTGCAATTTTGACATCAGAACAAGAGGATGCATCACATATTTAATTAAAGGAGCAGATGAAAAAAGCAGATGATGGAAATGTGGTTTAGCCACCCCACCCCCTCACCTCACCCCCAGGTCTGAGAAAGCAGCAAAGTCTAGTGTCATCTTTGAAAACAAAATATGAGTACAGATGAATTTAAGAAAAAAATGCAAATTTACTCTCTACATAATTTTCGGGCTGGTTTCTTTTAAAAAGTTGCTATTAAAAAACATGATATATTTTCAGGATTTAGGAATGTATTCATACTCCCTTTCTAATGTTACCTATGGAGGGAAAACTGAAGGCTGCTTGCTCCTCCCTTGCTAACAGAGGGTGTTTATTAGCTAGGATGGCAATGAAAAATTTAATACTAGTTTATAGCAGGGGACTGTCTTGGGCCTTTCATCTGGATACATGGCTCTTATTCCTCCCATGGATAAGCTCTAGCTTTAGGAAGTCTAATCCTAAATTGTTCTGTATCACTATACCATATTTAAAGAAAACCCAACTATATTTCTATACAAGTGGGGTTAATTAGTTGTTTTAAAGATCACCCTCTTTCCTGCCTAGGTAAATGGTCTTAATAGAAACTAGGAATGTGCTACTTTAAAAATTTACACTGCAGCCCTGTTTCCTGGCAATGTCCTGTCAATTCAAGAAAGGAAAGAAAGGGAAGCTACTTCATGATGAGAAATCAAAACCTTTTTTCTCCCTTCTCTTTCTTCTTTCTTTTTTATTTATTCTGAGCAATTGTCCCCAGGAAACTAACCCACCAACCGCTGTCAAGTTTGACTCCTGTTCCTGGAGTGATACCTTCCTGCTTCTCCAAGATGTCTCAGCTGGCTTTTCATCTTGGTCATCCACTTGCAAACTATCTTAGTCTTAGGACAGGGAAGACTACTATGTAGAGCTTTTTTCGCCCTTGGCTTTTTTTTTTTTTTTAAACCTTTTTAGATGCTGGGGGGTGGGGCCAACCAACAGAGTCAGCAGGGCTGGCCTATCCCTTTTCTGACCCTCTGGGGCCATCTTCCTTCTGGCAATTCTCTTCCCCCATCTGTTTTCCTCTTGTTCTTGTTTAAAAAAAAAAAAATTAAAAACAACCAAAGAAAGGAAAAGAAACAAACCCTAGAAATACAACACCTCTGGAGCAAGGCCAGCATGGTAGAAAATTCTATAGGAGTGTGTAGATTCATGTGGGAGCATGTACATGTTTACACACAGCTCTCAAATTATGGAAGAAACTCATATTGGCAGTAGATGGTAGCAAGAGAAGCTCCTCCCTAAACTTTAAAGAATCAGATGTTTCCTTCTCCTTCAATGGCAGAGAAGGAGCTTGTTTTGTGTTTCTCCAGTTTTGTTGAGATACAATGATCATGTTTTGGTTTTATGTGATAGTTTTTGCACTCTTCACGCAGTTCAGTGAATGCTCCCTGAACTTAGATTCGCGCCAGGAGCTGAGGGGAGCACTTTTAAGAGCAGCGAGGACCTGGGCCTTCGTGATGCGGCTGCCAGGCTCTTCCTCCACCTGGAAACTCTTTCCATCCCAGGGAAATACTTGGGCTTCAGGATGGATTTGTCCCTTTAGGGAGGGGGTTTCTGCAGACTGAGTACTTTGACACATTTGTCCAGCTGGGTTGATATGAGAGCTTTCCAGGTTGATCTTTCCCTGGTAAACTCCCTGAATCCTGATGCACAAATTCAGAGGAGGAGCTGGGGATGTTTATATAGTTGTTGTTTTTTTTTTTTTTCTTCTTGTTATCTTTTTAGTTATTTATGCTGGACACCAAGTTTTTTTTTCTTTTTATTGAAGTACAATTTACACACAAATTTTGCACAGATCTTAAATGGCAGATTTACAAGTTTTGACAAATGTATACACCAATGATATACTTCTATATCTATAAACCGGAGAGTTTCCTCATCCCCCTTCCCAGTCCAAGCCCCTTACTCCCAAGGATACTTTTCATATATCTCCACAGCTTAGTTTTGGCTTGTTCTAGAATTTCCCGTAAATGGAGTCACACAGGATGAACTCTTTGGTGTTTGGATTTTTCCTATCATGATGTTTTTTGGGATTCATCCAAGTAGTTGCCTGTACAAGTAAAACCCAAGATGTCACTAACAGCTTGACAGTGTTAGATGGGGACCATTGTTCCACCAGTTGGCCTGGTATGTGGCCCTCTCTGCTCCTCTAAGTCAGTCTCTTTCCAGGGCCAAGCAAGTCCCTCTCCCAGGACTGCCCAGGCAGCCTCAGACACCACCCAGATGGCCGCGGGGCCCGTCAACCGGGTAGCCTCCCCGGAACAGCTGCCCTCTGCCCCTCACCCCTATTATAACTCAAAAGGAAACTGGCTCCTCCGCAGATCAGAATTCAGATTCGTTAAATTCCACGCATCCAATTGCACACGAATGTGTGTTTTGTGGTTGATATGCAGAATCCTTAAGAAAACGTAAAAAGGGGGGAAAAAAGTGGGGGGAAACCCAGACATCAGTGGCAGTGGATATCAGCCTCTGTTGAACCAGGATTCAAAATGCAATCTTTTCTTTTTTAAATAAACGGAAGAGTCACTCTCCGCTCCTCGCTCGGAAGGTTTCAAAGGTCGTCACACCGCAGCCTGGGGGCGTTCATCTCCCTAGCGGCCTGGAGAAGGGAGGAGGTTGGAGGGAGGAGGGAGGGAGCACACAAAAGCGAGCCGTGCCGAGAGGGCTAATGTTTCCTGTTTGCCTGGAACCCCCTCCCCTGTGTCCCCTCCCCCAGCCCCCTCCCAGCACTCGGGCGGAAGTGAGTTTGCTTCTTTGGAGATTAAAAGGATTCCGAATTCCGATCAGTCCCAATAACCCGTACTGAGAAGAGAGAAGAAGGAGGAAGAGGCGGCAAAGCAGAGAAAGAGGGGGCACGCGCGCGCGTGCACGCACTCAGCGCGAATTGGGGGAGTTGTGCAAAGCCCCAGGAGGCCAGAGCGCACGGCGCGAGCAAAGGCCGGTAGGCGCAGCGCGGCCGGGGCCACCCGAGTCTTGCTCGGTGACTCGTTTCAGGAAGAAGATGACGCGGGCCAGCAGCGTTGGCCACGCGGCTCCCGAGCTCACCGAGCTGGGCCGTTGCCGGTTCCACTGATTCTAGCGCGCCTCGGAGGAGGCTCCGTCCCCGCAGCTCGGGATCGGAGGGGGGACCAAGGCGAGGGCGAAATGGCCCGATGACAAAGGAAATGTGATCCCCCTTCGCCGCCAAGGTTTCAGAGAGGACGGACGTGAGGAGGAGGAGGGGCGCGGCGCGCGCGCGGAGCTCGGATAGCATTGCACGACGGCTCGCGCGGAGCGGGCAGCGGGTACATCTAATATCTTCCTGCCGATGAATAATTCAGGACGGCCCGCGGGGACCTGCGGCCCCGCGCTGCAACGCGGCTAAACCGGAGGGGAAGGAGAGCGGGCGGGAGGCGCCAAGGCCGGGCGAGGCGGGGGCACGAGGGCCCGGGACCGCGTGGGGCGCGCGTGCGTGTTAAGCGCCGGCAGCCGCGGCTGGGCTAGGCGGCGCGCGGGAGAATCGAGGCGCGTGGGACGCGCGTGCGTACTACACGCGTGCGGCCGCGGCCGGGCCCCCACTAGCTGCAGCTGCGGCGGGGCCGACCGCCCTGCAGGAGAGGCCGCGTCCGGCCGTGCGCGAGCCCCGAGCGCTGCACGCCGGGCCACCCAGGAGCCCCTGGCCGCCGCGTCATGCGGCGGGGCAGCCGGCGTCGCGCGGGGGGACACGGGCTTGGCGTCGCGCCGCTCCCGCCTTTACTAGTTTGGGGACCTTTCCTCTCCCAAGAAGAGACTAACTAAATCTGTTGAAAGAAGAGCAACGCACCAAATACTCGCGGAACCAAATTCTGCTTCACCCGCCGGGACTGGGATTACACAGCAGACTCTACTTTGGGGGACTTACCTCGGCTAGGGAGAACTACGCTCCCGCTGCTCCAGGGGAGTCCTCTGACCTCCCCGCCCCCGCTCGCCCCTCGCGTGTCGGGACTTGTTCCGGCGCTCCGGCTTCGAAAGGCACGCAGCCTCCGCGTCCTCCGGGGGAAATCTGTGTCGCCTCGGGATAGTGGCATTTGATGCCCGCAGCGTCGGGGCTGGCAGCGCGCGGGCCGGGCGGCTCTGGAGCCGACTCCTGGATCGCAGGCCCGATCGATGCATTTTTCTGAGTGAGTCGGCGGCTCCCTCCCACCCACCTCGGCCGTTTTCTCCTATCCTCCTCCTCTTCCTCTCTGGTCTCCTCCCTCCTCCGAGTCGGCTTGCAAATGGCTTCGTTCCCCGAGACCGACTTCCAGATCTGCCTGCTGTGCAAGGAGATGTGCGGCTCGCCGGCGCCGCTCTCCTCCAACTCGTCTGCGTCGTCGTCGTCCTCGCAGACGTCCACGTCGTCGGGGGGCGGCGGCGGGGGTCCGGGGGCCGCGGCGCGCCGCCTCCACGTCCTGCCCTGCCTGCACGCCTTCTGCCGCCCGTGCCTCGAGGCGCACCGGCTGCCGGCGGCTGGCGGCAGCGCGCCGGGAGAGCCCCTCAAGCTGCGCTGCCCAGTGTGCGACCAGAAAGTAGTGCTGGCCGAGGCGGCGGGCATGGATGCGCTTCCCTCGTCCGCCTTCCTGCTCAGCAACCTGCTCGACGCCGTGGTGGCCACGGCCGACGAGCCGCCGCCCAAGAACGGGCGTGCCGGAGCCCCGGCGGGGGCGGGCGGCCACAGCAACCACCGCCACCACGCGCACCACGCGCACCCGCGCGCCTCCGCCTCGGCCCCGCCGCCACTCCCGCCGGCGCCGCCGCCGCCCGCGCCTTCCCGCTCTGCGCCCGGCGGCCCGGCGGCCTCTCCGTCCGCGCTGCTGTTGCGCCGGCCTCACGGCTGCAGCTCCTGTGACGAGGGCAACGCGGCCTCGTCGCGCTGCCTGGACTGCCAGGAGCACCTGTGCGACAACTGCGTCCGCGCGCACCAGCGCGTGCGCCTCACTAAGGACCACTACATCGAGCGCGGCCCGCCAGGTCCCGCCGCCGCGGCCGCCGCGCAGCAGCTCGGGCTCGGGCCGCCCTTCCCCGGCGCGCCCTTCTCCATCCTGTCGGTGTTTCCCGAGCGCCTCGGCTTCTGCCAGCACCACGACGATGAGGTGAGTGCGCGGGCGGCCTCTTAGGGGGCTGCGCCGGGGCGGGGCGGGGGCTTGTGTCCACCGAGGACACGCGTGCTTGCTCGCCAAGGACCTCCGGACCGGTCCCAAAGCGGGGGGCGGGAGCGGGGGGGTGTTCTATGGATTGCTTGTTTTTCCTTTGACTACGTGGCGGTCGTTGCCACCAAGTAGGTCATTGCTTGGGAAGTGTGTGTGTAGAAGTCAGGCTTTGGTATTCTTGCTGCGAGGGAGGGACCGCGGGAGAGTTCCAAGACGTGGAGCCCCCCCTTTTCCGTATCTAATTTTCTGTGTGGCAAATTGTGGCAACGTTGTCTTCAACCAGCGTGAGCTGAGAGAAGCTACGGTGTGCGTGTGCGTAGAGCTGGTCTCCGTGTGCGAGGGTTCCCCGCCCCTACCTTGATGGTTCTCAAGGTTTGAGAACACCCCCTCTTTATGGATTTTGATGTCCTCATTTCTGCTTGACAAAGCGCGCAAGCTGTTAAGATGAGGGATGGAAGAGTGTCTGTATCTGTTTAGACGTGGTCTCCCTATTCTGGCACACCCCAGGCCTTCCGGAGTATTGGGTGCTCTCCTTTACCATATTTTCTCCTTTTTGTTTGTCCAACTTGTAGATTGTGGGCTTTTAGGTAAGGTATGAGCCAGGATGGAGATGGCTGTGGTTGTGGAGTGCGTGTGTCTGTGTCGCCCTGGTTTCCACGTGCGCGCTTGTGTGAGGCGGAATAGGGGGACCTTGCCCATTGACCTCCCCGAGCTGGGAGCCCCTTGGGCCGCTCCCGCCTGCCGCGACTTCGATCCCTGCAGGAACTGGTTTCCCTGGTTGGGGAGGTGTCTCCACCCCGCTCAGACTGGGGCTCGACTTCCGTGGAGAAAAGCCAGACCCATTTGCAGAGGCTTGAACCCGGTGGGCGCAGGGTCCGAGGGCTGCACTGCAGCCTTCGGATTTGAGTTCGCTGTTTTGGCGAATAAACCTTTCTTTCTCATTCTTTACACCGTGTGAGACCTTCCACTTACCTGAGCCCACTGCAGTAAGGGACCAAAAATTTTGAGGAGCGGGCTCTGTTGGGGAGGGTCGTTAATTTAAACCATTTACCTGTAGACCCGTGAGATGTGCTGTGTAGTCGCTATGGTCTTGCCTTGGAGAGAGAGCAGATGGCAGAGGTTTTAAAAAATCCTAGCGGGAGTTGCTGTCTGCCGAGTTGGAGCCAGCGTGCTGGTACCGAGCAAGGCAGAGGCTTGCACATCGCAGCCTTTTCCCCTCCTAACCTGGTATTTGGGGAGGAGGGCGGAGCTATTGCCTGATGGCTTTAAGCCGGCGTCTCCTATTGGAAAAAAGTTGAAATTCTAATCTACTTGTTGTGGGCGCCGCATTTTAAGTTTCCTTCTAGGTATTAAGCTAGGGGGCATTCTTTTCCTTCGTTTTTAGGCATTGAGTAGACTCATCTTAAAAGTTTCCACATTCGTTGGGTGAATGTTTGTACTATGTTCTTTTCATCACTTGTAGAAAAATGAATGATTGAGCTAAATACGGATCTTGAAGCCCAGGAATGAAAAGATGGAGTCAAATCACTTGAAGATTAGGGTCAAATGGGGGGGAGGGGGAGGCAGTGAAGGGAGGGAAAGAGCGTCTTGAATCCGCCACAATTTCCCTCCTGGGAGGGGCCGTTGATTGAATTCTCTCTCCCAGCAGTTGAGTTTAAATGTCAGGTTTTATTTATATTCCCAGTTAAAGATCCACATTCGTTTTATTTGGGCTAAAACAGAAGATGCTCAGTGTTGCCAGACTTGTAAAAGGCTTATACTTGTAAAACATTTATACACTTTTAAAATTATAAAACTGTTCAAATGGTGTGGGAGAGTGTAAAGTGAGAAGTGAAGCGCCCCTTGCCCTGGAGGTTCCTGGATGCCCTGAAAATTCACTTTGTAAGTTGTGCAATACTAGGTTGAATTTTGGCAAAGACATTGAGAGATCACATTGTTATACTAAATATTCTTTAGAATTTTTTTAACATTTTATTTATTTAGATAGACAGCAAGAGAGGGAACACAAGTAGAGGAGGCGGGAGAGGGAGAAGGCTTCCCGCAGAGCAGGGAGCCCGATGCGGGGCTTGATCCCAGGACTCTGGAATCATGACCTGAGCCCAAGGCAGAACTTTAACGACTGAGCCACCCAGGCGCCCCTGAAATTTTCTGTTTTGAGCAGAATTCTCCTTCCCCTCAGTTACTCACTTAAAGAAGAAAACTTGGAAATTAATTTTTATACCTTTAATCACCTCTGCATTTAGAATGTTAGAAATTTTGAGTTTAAAGGTGACAAACCAATGCTGGAAATAAAGGACCCAAGTGTTAGAGAAAGCACCAGGTTCAAATAGGGGTCCCACTCACAAATTTTCTTCCCTTCTAAGAAAATGATCGGTAATTGTTTGGGAATACTGTTCTTTTAAAAAACCATTCCTCTGACTGGGAAAGGGGCATGAAAGCACTTTGGAAGGTGACTGTCTTCTATTTGATGTGATGGATGGAATCTCTAAACCCATGTATTTTTCTGTATTTGTAATCTACCTCGATTTTCATAATGTTCTTTACTGAGTTGCCTTCTGTGTCAGCAGGCTCCATTAAATAATTAAGGGTTCCCCTGCCTTACAGTGATGCCACCTGACCTTGGGAAGGAGGCTGGGACCCTGGGTTTCCCCCCCTTTTAATTTTGGGGAGGGTGTCTCCAACAGTTGGACACCCCGGGATGCTGAGGCAGCTGGTAGGGTCTCTTTCCCCACCGCTTTCCTTAAGAATCCCCCTGGAAATGGCTCCTCAGGATTGACAAGGTGGTGTTTTGAGAACTTGGTTTTAAAAATGCAGTTGCAAAACCTCAAGGGAATTGGGTTTTCCTACAAAATGATAAAGGAATTATGGCTCATTTAAAAAACCTAGATTGTATTTTTCGCTAGTTTTGTGCCTCAGTGGTCAGTTTAAAGGCCTGCTGGCGCCAGGCCGGAGGGGCAGGCAGGCCGGGAAGTGCGGGCCCGCGGGTCCGGGGCCGCTGGCCGCGCGGCGGTCAACACAGGCGGGGGCCCGGGAGGCGGAGGAGGCGGCGCCGCTGTGGGCCTCCGCCGCGACAGGGCCAGCCTCGGGCCGCCTCCGTTGTGGGGACGCGGGGGGACGGGGGCCGCTCTTCTCCCCGCGGGCACCCGAGAAAGCGTCCTCGAGAAAAGGGGGTGCACGCATTTTGGGCGAAGAGTTAAGTGCGTCTTGAGCGTGCTGCTCCGGCTGCTTGAGGAGTGCCCTTATTTATTGTATTATTGATGTATAGGATGTGAGCCCTTTGCTGCCTTGGCGGCGACCCTGGAAACACAAATCTCGGCGTGGGGGCGGCCAGGGTGTGTGTGTTGCCTGTCGAAGGGCTGGGCATCAGCATTCTGTAAATGGCAGGAAGTAAAGTGGGGTCTGAGCGTGTTCTGTCCCCAGGAAAGTCCCTGTCACTAGCGATGTGGGTGACATAGTTGCCATCTTGAGCCGAGGGAAACATTGTAGTTCAGCCCACTGACGATGGCGATATTGTTCCCAGTTAGGGCCGGCGGGAGCAGATTTTCCTGACTCTCCAGGATGGAAAATGGGGTACAGGTGCTGATACAATATATATTTAGTCCCCGCTTTGGGCTTAAAAAAAGAAAGAAAAGGAAAGGGAAAAAAAAAGCTTCCTAGAAATGTAAGTTCTAGAATTACAACCCAATATCCTGAATATTGACCCATCCATCCTAGGCTTGGGGACTGTCTTTCCCCAGGAAACCACTCAAAACTACTTTGAGGAAGGCTGTTTGCTGCCTTACAATAATGCTTGTGGGTGAATTCTTGTCTTGTATCTTATTTTGAATAAGTCATGGTGAATGGGGACATCACCAGTACTGGTAACCAATATATTCTACATTCCTAGAGTCTTAAGTTTTTTCAGGCATGCATCCCCAGTGTAAGCATGTTTTAAAACTATGTATGTGCTATGTAAATTACAAAATGTATACCAAAAGACATTTTGTAAGGACAAGAGGAAAAAAATGAATAGAAATGTGCGTTCTAGTATTTCTGCACCCCATCTTTCGACCTGCTCATACATGATTTGGTGGATATATGTCTGCTTAACACATACATCTCTGTTTGCCAGAAAACCAAACTTTCCATACATACCTTGGAAATAATTGGAGCTTGATGCTTTGAATCCATTTCAGCAGGTAGATACCTATGTCTCTTGAATTAAAAAATGCTTGGTGAAGGGCGCCTGGGTGGCTCAGTTGGTTAAGCGACTGCCTTTGGCTCAGGTCATGATTCTGGAGTCCTGGGATCGAGTCCCACATCAGGCTCCCGGCTCCATGGGGGAGCCTGCTTCTTCCTCTGACCCCCTCCCCTCTCATGCTGTTTCTCTTTCTCTAATAAATGAATAAAACCTTAAAAAAAAAAATGCTTGGTGAAGATCTATGGGAGAAAAATGTTCATTATTGATACCTTAATTCCTTAGCCTTGAATATAATCTGTGGGCTTTTTAAGTTTGAGCTGAGGAATGTGCCCAGCCTTCCATTAAAGTGCATAGGGATGGGTTTTATCAACATGGATCCCGAGAAGTGGGTCATAGCTAGTTTGGCAAGCCTGTGCTCATGAGGTTACCTCACAGGCATAAGCTCATCTAAAGGGTGCTAGTAATATTTGAGGTGGTGTGGTATCAATAGTCTGGGGAACCTTTTGTGACTGCTTTTGCTTCCTAAAAAGTAAACTACACTGGTTTTAGGATTGCATAGACTTGCTTTTGTTTTGGTCTGTAAAATTTTTATTTCCAGTGCTCAGAAATACATTTTTTTGGAAACAGTGAAGATATTTTAGGAAGAAAACAGGCACTTTCTCCCAGACTGCAGTTCTTCAGTTGATACTACTATACATTCTTTATGATTCAGATGTTTTCAAGTTAAATACTAGGACATGGAATAAAGAAATCCGGAAAGTGT